AGGATCAACGGCGTCTCGGAGCTATAATAGTCCCAGACAAAGAAGAGATTCTCGTGGAGGCTAAAAGGTTGTCTCTAATGGAATCTGATGCCTCGGAGCTTAGTAAGCAGAAACAGATTAATCTGTTGCATGAGGAGTTGAGAAAATGGTAAGTCGAGCTTCTTCTTGGTAACATTTTTCCGAATTATCGAATTTTTGTATCTTCTGAACGGTGAAATTTTGCCAATGTGTTATTTTATGTTATAGAGTAGCGTCTTCAGTTTTATGTCTCTACAAATGCTTCATCTGCCTAATTGTATGTCTAGGATAAAGGAGTTATTTAAGGGGACTAAAAATTACAACTTCCCTTTTCATATATAATTTTTAACTTGGACAGATTCTTAATTGAGCAGTGTGAAATTAAAAATCTGTGTGATGAAGATTAAAATTGAGAGCCAAGTATTTTCCCCCTTGTCAATTGCTGTTAATGCAGGACCAAGGATTGTTCGTTTCAAGTCGGGCCCATCCTTGTGATTGATGAACCTTTCACGGTATAACTTGTTACATACGCCACAAGAACTTGTTTATGGGTTTATTAATGAAAATTATTGATCGCTTTACCTAATTGCAGATTGATAGTGGTTTAATGACTCCAACCATGAAAATCCGAAGAGATCGGGTTGTATCCTTGTACAGGGAGCAAATAGAAAACTTATACAAGTGACTTTGCTGGGACTATGTATCACTACCCAATTAAGAATTCTCAGATGTATTCATACAGACATCGATTCTCTCGAGAGTTCACAAACCGTATTAATGACGAGGAAGGTTTTTTTAGTGATGCTACTAATACTTGTGCGGGCTTGCCTGTTCTGCTCAAGCCTATTCTGTTCAAGCTGGCTGAGGAAGACTTGTGAGGGTCTGTCAAACTATTTATTTACCTACACAAATATGTATTCATCAATGTAAACTTTATTGGGTTTCTTTCGCAGGTGAAAGTAGATATCGAATCATTAAAATTAATAAATGTACTTTTTTATATTTGATAGAAGACATTGTCAAATTCATTAAAGAATCTGTGCTTGCAACGTACAGAAAACAAGTTTCAACAAACTGAAGAACAATGCCAAAGGTTGACAACCAAGAGGATAATGGCTCAAATCAACAAAGATATGTGAATTCCAAGTCCCTCAAAGCTATTTATTTCTCAAATCTCCTCACAGGCCAAATTTTATTCTGAACAGCATTATTACCCACAAGGGTATATAAAAAGCATTCAACAATGAAAAGACATTCGATTCAAATCCAGATGTCAGAGGTGCAGTCTCCACCCGGATATCTCATCTCATGAGCCAACGAGGGGCCGTTTGGTTCAGAACCAAAATCCACAAAGAAATTCGGGTTGATTGCCAGACCACCCTTCTCAGTATCAACATCAATCTGCAGGATATGGCTGCCTTTCTCCACGAGTTCAGGGTAAAACTGACGATCCCAAGTGCTGAACAGAGAGTTCGTCACATACAGTCGCTTTCCATCCAAACTCAGCTGTATCATCTGAGGTCCCCCTCGGATTTTATGTCCCTAGCATAAAATTAAAAGGTAAAAATGAACACAAATATTTTTTTATAAATAGTAACACAAGACTTAGGGCGTGTTTGCATATAAATATATCCGCTCAAAATGAGTTTCTATGGTTATACAGAGTTAATTTTGAAAAAAAGTTTGTATGGTTAATTGTTAGTGGGGTATATTAAAATAATATTTAAAATAAAATAATTAAAGTTGATTGATGTAAAAGTAGGAGAGAGATGATGTGAAGTAATAGGTAGTTAAAATTATGTGAGTGGATGAATAGTAAATTAAAGTTGATGATAGTTGATTTGTATTATTTAATTATATTGATAATATTGAGGATATTGGAGTTGGGTTAAAGTTGAGTTAGATTTTGAGTATGAATTGAGTTTTTTAATATACAAACACAAGAGAAAATAGATCAATCCAGCTACAAGAGGTGACTTGTAAATGAACTAAAAAAATAAATTGCACAAAAATTTGTCAAAAAAGAGAAATTTATGACTGTTCGGAAAAGAATATGTGTAATACCTGAATATCGGGCACGTCAACCTGGTATGTTGTACCATCATCAGCAACAGCTGTCACGTTGCCTCCTTTTCGAATGGAACCTCCCACCCATACCTGGCCAGTCAGCCGAGGATTTGCAGGATCCTCAATGTTGTATTGTCTAATATCACCATGAAGCCAGTTGGACAAATACAGAAAACGGTCATCGAGAGATATCAAGAAATCAGTTATGAGACCAGGCATCTCGGGAAGAATCCAATTCTGCACTTTAACTGGCTTCACCGATGCTGATAACTGCCAGTCATGGATTCAAACTAGTAAACAAAAATAAAAGGCGGGAAAATGGATATTTGTGCAATCAGACAAAAAAAAAAAAAGATCTTGCACGTACCTCATGGTCCCATGACCCGTCAGGCCTCTTGAAGAATCTTACCATGTTGCTTGTTAAAGCACACCCCACAAATCCAGTATCCTTGTCAGGGTCATGCAAGAACCTTATCTGTGCACATTTAGAAAAAATGATTTAAGAGAGAAGTTTCAGACAATGGAATAAGATGTTAAACGAAAACAATGAAAATTGATATCATATTCACCTCCAAAGGTAACAGACCAGTACTTCCAAGATCCAAAGTCTGTTTCAACTCGCCCTCAGGCCAGCTGTACACATGCAGATGTCTCCCGTAAAGACCATCTGAGACATGCTTAAGATCAAAACCTTTGGTGAAGGCAGAAGGGGCGCCCCAGGAGCTGCTGATCATTGTCTTATGCCGAGGTTGGTACCAGAAATCGTACCCAAATAGTGGGGTGTGGCCTGGTTTTTCCCACCTATTATACGAAGTGGCAACTTTTATATCAATTTGAAATGTTGTATGTTTATCAAGAATAAATTTGAAAGTTCTGTTGATTGGGAAAATAAACACGAAACGTACTTTTGGAAAAACAAAGAAAATAATTCTAGAACTTGTATGTGTGTGTGTGTGTGTGTGTGTGTATTGTAACTCCAGATGATTAAGGATTGAGTATAAGTTGTACAATATTTACGGACACCAGTCAAAAAGGAAATAACCAATTCTAGGACATTCTTTTGAATATGCAAATAGTAGATAACAAACAAAAGTCACCTTCCTTTGACGTTGAAATCAGAGTCCAGCAGAAGAAATCCATTTCCTTGAGCATTCCCATCTTTGTCTCCAAGACACGACACCATGATATCACCAGAAGCAAGGCAGTGAGCAGTGTGTGGGTAAGCCAATCCTGTTTTCTGTATTATGTCTTTTGGCTCAACAACTTTGTGCAAACTTGGAGCCTTTGGGTCTTTCCGAGTATCGATTGCATATATTCGACCAGACCTGAATGAGGTGATTAAATGCATAGATGAAAAAAAGAGAGCTCATCACCATATAACAAAACTGAAACAATCACAATCAGAAATTAAACCATTTAACTCCCAAATGGGCTGATCATTAACATAAGAATTACAAATCCACCAATTTGGATTATTATTGTGTCAGCTGCTATGGAGCAGTTATTTGCAATTCTTCCACAAAATCTTCTAAGACTTCCTGCCAAATGCAACTCAATGATTTATATGCTTCATCAAATCACACGCCGCAAGTAGAAGCGTATATAAATAGGAAATCCTCTTCACTAGAAGCATACAGAATGCTATAACTGTCTTTTACAAGTAAAAGAAATCACAAGAAAACACAAATATCGGTTTAACAAGAGCTAAATTCAGAGGAAACCATGCTCTTCTAGCAAACACAACATATCATCCAACAAAATCATAATGAGTCTCGGTAAATTCCACCCACAAGATGACGGCTTACTTGCACATGCCACAGGGAATGTGGGCACTTACACAAGTGAAGGAAGTACAAGAAATCTGCGTGACGCTGAAGGATCACCATGGCAAGAACTGCAGGAATTCCATCCAGAATGGTGGAGCTCGTCACCAACATAAGGCATGGGCAGCCTGTGCAGGATTTTACAATACGATGGTGAACTTGGATCAACATCCACTGTGGCTAGGTAATCTGGCTTCTCCTTTCCTGTTCCTGTAAAACACCAGCATAATCATAGCCAAATACTATAGAGAACCCATCAAACGGATAAATTCATCACAAACAACAGATTATTGAAGTTACCCATCAAAATTGAAAATCGAATAGACCCTAGATCAAAATAGAAGTAGATACCTCCTCAATCAAACCAAAAAAATAAAAAATAAATCAAAGTACCTGTGTAAACACAAGTGACATAGATAAGAGTTTCTCTGGGGCCGGACATTGCATCCAGGGGAGTAGGGTATCCTGGTCCCTTCTTGCAGCAGCCATTACCGACTTCTGCATGCTGCAACACCGCCGTATCAGTCGCCATTTCTCTCTCCTTCTCTCTCTCTCGCTTAATTTGCTGGTCTTGTGAAAAATATCTTGAATCTCAGAAAGATGTGATGATGATGAGTTGAAAAAAACAGACCCATGGCAGTGGATAAGGCCGAAAAAGAAAAAAAAAAAATGGCGATATATTGGTGCTGGTCTGTAAGACTGTATGTGGGCCGGATGGTAAACCACGTGAGAAGGGCACGTCCAGGTGAAATGTATCGTGTTCGCTTGCAAGTAGGTGCTCCTTTTTTTTCGTCTGATATATTTTATATATATCGTGTTAGCTTGAAGTGGTATAGGTACGTAGAGATGTACATGGGATTAAAAAATAAAAAATTAAATAGACCCCCACTCTATGTGAGTGTTATGTACATTCATTATGTACATATAGTATTTTCTTTTATAAAAGAGTAAAAGACACATATTTACGACAAAATTTATACAATTGTCACCAATAGTTAAGTTGCACAGTTGAATCTAGTAGACGGGCTACACGAATGTAGCCAAGGTTNNAAATCGAATCGAACTAACGAGAAAATAAATTGAATCGTACCGACTCACTATTATCAGTAATCGATTATCGGTTACCGAATGTTTATCGGTTCGGTATCAATACCGACCCATATGAGTTCCGTTTTAACCGAACCGATAAGCTTTTTAAAAAGTATTAAGTAAAATAAATCAATCAACTTCCTCCTTTAGACATGAAAATGAAGTTGAACTGCATGATGCTCGTGTTCGAACTTTTATCCACGAGAATGGGTTGAAAGTGTCAAAACAGGCAAATGTTGAAAAAAATCAAATTATTGAGTCTTTGAAAACTGAAATCTTTGCCTTGCATAAAGCCTTGTGAAACAGGGACAATGAAGTTGTTGCTCTTAAGGAAGACCTCTCTTGGTAACGAACAAACATGTGAACCTGAAAGATCGAGCCTCTCAATATGAGCGACACTTAAGAGACAAAACTGCAAAACTAGAATGTACATCACAAATCTTAACTTAATTGAACAAAAGGAAGGCTGATCTGGACAAGCTACTTGATATTCGAAAAACTCATGGTGATTATCACGGACTGGGATACAGTGGAACTAAAGATGAAAGTCCCAGCACTTCACATATGCAACTCACCGTGAGCATCTTGAGCTCGATTTTACCAAAAAAAAAAAAAGAGGTAATGAAGGTACCAGCTATCCAGGTAAACTCACTCACGACTTATATTCCAAGTTTATTCTTAGCTCTATAAGTAAATAAACTTTTCCTAATGAGAACAAACATAATAAGGTTCCTGTGAATAAATTTGTGTCTATATGTCATTATTGTGGTGTCTTGGTCACACTAGACCTAAGTGCTACATAATGTAGCATGACTTATTTATAGAGAAGGTAAGAATCTAGAATCATCTTGAAGTTCACATGAAAGGTTCAAAACCTAAAGTTGAAAAGAAGCATACTGAACAATATAAAACTTGGGTGGTAAAAAATGCACATAAGTGTCTCTAGAAACTCCTCTTGAATATAAATGTTACTTAGATAGTATGTGTTCGAGGAATATGACTGACGAACTGTCTTATTTGTGTGATATAAAATTGTGACCCAATGGTAAAGTCATATTTGGAAATGGTGCTAGTAACAAAGTTATTGGCATTGGTTGTTTGAACATTGGTAGTCTACCAAATTAAATGATGCGTTACTTGTGCATTGTCTGAAAGCCAATCTACTTAGTGTTAGTCAACTATGTGATTAAGGACTAAGTGTGAGATTCTTGTGATAAGTGCATTGTGAAAAATAGTGTTGATGTTTGTGTACTTATAGGTTCGCAATCAAGTGACAATTGTTATTCAATAATTAATTTGATCTGGCCAAACTGACTCATAACTCGGTCACCAAGGTCAACCCTAGTTGTGTCATATTTTTAAATATTACTTACAAATAATGTAATCAACGTGAGCACTAACCTAATTCAGTCACCCGATCGATCCAAAGAAATTTTAAAATTAAAATTAATTTATTAGTTTTGCAATTGAAACAATGACACGATACCAACATGAGTTACTACATAGCAGAGATATTTAGCATATTAATTAATATTTTTGTAGTATGTTATTCATAAGTTAGTAAATATCATAAACGGATGGTGTTATAGAAGCAAGTGCCTTCAAAATAAATTATATTCTCATTATATATAACTTAGGACAAATTGTTATCATTATTATTTTATATATTGTTATAACGAAGTTGATCATTTTACATGTTTACCACATCTTTTCTTGGCAAAATTTTGATTATCTATATCTATATACATATAAAGCGGGGCAAAGAATTCAATGCAAGTGTAACTTTTTTCCCTTTCATATTCTTTAGCTAGTTTTGTAACAAATCGTTACATTTTGCATTAATTTAGTAACTATTCATTATTTATTTTATTACATAATAGCTACTACAGACTAATCATAAAGTCATACTATATACAGTGATGGATTTAGGAATTTCACTCAAGGGGGTCCGATTTTAAATGTATAACGAGCTTGTAGTTTAAGTCCAAATAGTCATTTCATGTAAAAAATGTATTTAAATAAATATAAATATCGATATGTGTACCATCAAATTTTTAAAAAACTTAGAATCCGTATCACCCTCAAACTTTTAAAAAAATTATAAACAAAAAAAAATATGAGATTTATGTATGTATAATTTAAGTTCAACATATATAGTTTGTGGAAAATAAGTTTTTATGTTGAAAATTGATTTAAATTGAACTTTTGCAGCACATTGCATAGCATTTTTTGTTGATAAAAAATTATCAAATAAACATTGTTTTAAGAAGAAAATAACTTAATTTAAAAATATGTGATTACACATAAAAAATAAAAAATAAAAAACCAACATTATTGATTTTAAAAAAATGAGGGGGGCCCATGGACCCCTCTTGAGCCCAATACATCTCCGTCATTAACTATATATGATATATGAAAGTTATATACATATCCAAATTATATTACAAAACTTATTTTTTTTCAAACTAATTATTTAAAATTATTTTTTTCTTAACTCATTAAGCAATTCTTTTATTAAAATTAGTTAATTATATTTTAATGGCATAACCAAACCCCTTAAAAATACGCACACAATTTTTATAATAATAATAATATTTTTTTTCATCTAATTAATTTGTTATAATCACAAAAAATTGTAACAATTAAATTATTGCAACAAATGTAACGATTTATATGTGGGATGAATAGTTTGTATTATACATTTATTTTACTAATAATAAAATTTATAAAATGTGATATGCTCATAATCCAGTTTATGATTTTAAATATTACACACACACAGATACATATATATTTATTTATATTTTATATTTATAAATGTGCACAAGATCGAATATTAGTTAAAAAATAAAACTATAAAATCATTATAAAAAACAATAATTCAATTTAAAAATCTATGACAAAATAACTATAAATTAACAATTTATAAACAACAAAAGTTAGTACTTTTTGATTATTATTATTATTATTATTTTAAAATGTACAAATACAAAAAATTTGCAGGTCAACGGAGTAATTTTCTAATGTTGAATTTTTGTGCTACCTCTTTAAAGCCAAAACAAAGCGTTTGGGTATTTCAACTCAGAACTGAAGGCATCTGCAGATCGAGAAAATTTTAAAAAGAGAAGATGGGGTGGGTTGGAGAGCAGATCGATTCCATCAAATCCTTGAACTTCAGACAAGCTCTCACTCAAGCAGTCAGCCTCGGTTCGTGCTTAGATTTTTTCTTTCTTTTTCCTATTTTATTGGTTGAGAGTAATTTCCATTATCTGTTGAGTTTCTTGAACTTCTTATGCCCCAAGCTTATTGTTTTTTATTTCTCTTTTATGTTTTTCTGTTTATTTCCTTCCATTTATTGGTAGCTGGGGCCAGATTTTTCTTATTTCTGTGATACCTCTGATCTGTAATTGTTCTAATGCGTTTATCGGGTAAAGAATAAGAAAGGAATAAGGGTGAAAAATTAAAGGATATATATAGGAATTGCTTAAATTGGGTTATTACTCCTCCTCTTATTACTCCTCGTCTTCCTTCTTGCCCCTCCCTTTTTGTTTTTTAAAAAGAAATAACTAAGTAGCTCTTATTTTTGTCACATGTCCCGTAGATATGCTTGTTTCTTCAAAAAGCGTAGTCAAATTATTAAGTAGCTCTGAACAAAATAAAGTCATAAAAGCAAATATTTTTTAGCTTAAAGCGTATATGTAGAATATGTTATTTCCTGAACATAATAATAGTTATGGTATTAAACTCTGTGAGAGAGCAAGCAAGCTATCTTAGTGGGCAGAGGGAGTAGCATATTTTCTACCTTTTCTTCTTGAGAAGGGTCCTTCAATATTTGTCTTTTTTTTGTCTTTTAAACAGGACAGTTACATAAACTAACATTATAGTTTCATCATTCATCATTTTTCCAGGTATGATCGTTACATCAGCACTTATAATATGGAAAGGATTAATGTGTATCACTGGTAGTGAATCACCTGTAGTTGTTGTGCTTTCTGGAAGTATGGAGCCTGGTTTTAAAAGGGTGAGTCTTCTGATACACATTATGTGTGATATGAGGTGAAAGACTGTAGATGGGATTGGGAATTGTAAGAAACTGTTATGGGACTAAGATAACTAGCTAAAATTCATTGGTTTGCTGATGAGTAGTGTTTAAATGTAGTTTGTCATTGAACTGGACTTTAGCCTACTAAAACAGTAATATTCAATCATGCTGCTTAGCTCCTTTGGTAAGTTAAGGTTTGAAAGTACCCTCTAAATACAATTTAGACTTTACGGTTTTTCTTATTCATGTTTCCAGGACTTCAAATTATAGCCCATTTAGGGCTTGGTTGAAAAATCGAATTAGTATAATAGTATTAAACAAGCAGGCTTGTATATATTATGAAGGCTTAGTCTTAGAAGTAAAGAATCAGGAAAAAAAGACATCCGAAATTCTATTGATAATATACAATAACAGGGATGAACAAGTATGAAACTTCTCCAGCCGAAAATTAATATCTGCCCATCAAGAATAGTTTACCCATCAGCCTAAGCTATTACAAAATATATCTATGCATGCTTATGTTAACAACCCTATCTTATATACTAAGTTATTGCTATTATAAAATTGGAACAAGATGTTAGTTAGGCAAGAAAATAAACACCATATAATAAATAATAAATAAGATAAAATTATGCTTTGGCACTATTGTCTTGGCCATCCTAATTTCATGTATTTCTGAAAATTTATCCTAATTTATTCGTCACTGAAAATCCAAAGTCGTTCTATTGTGAAGCTTGTCAGTCTGCTAAATTAGTTTTCTCCAGCACCCAACTCATCCATTCTCCTTGATTCATAGTGATGTATGGGGGCCATCAATAGTGAAAAATCTTACAGGTGCACGCTGGTTGGTTTCCTTCATAGATGATCACACACGACTCGCTTGGGTATTCCTCATGGAAGAGAAATCTGAATTATGTCAATATTTCAAAAATTTTACTTGATGATTAAAAATTAGTTCCAAATGCAGAGCCAGGTCCTTAAAATTGATAATGCTTGTGAATAGTTCAAATCATATTTGCAAACTTATCTCTCAAACCATAACATTATACACATAACTTCTTGTGTTGATACTCCTCAACAGAACGAAGTGGAAAAATCGTCACCTACTTGATGTAGCCCAAGCTTTGATGTTCTCATCTCATGTGCCTAAATTCTTTTGGGGAGAAGCTTTCTTACAGCAACATATCTTATTAATAGAATTCCAGCTAGGGTTCTTAAATTTCATAGTCCCTATCGTGTTCTATTACAAAAATTTCCCCACACCAGGTTTGTTGCATATGATATTCCAATAAAAAATCCTTTGTTGTTCAGCCTTTGTCCATGTCTATCAGCCTATACAAAGCAAATTAGACCCAGGTCTATCAAGTGTGTATTTATAGGATACTCATTGACTCAGAAGGGCTATAAATGCTATTCACCTGCAACCAAAAAGAGTTTATTCTTCAATGGATATCACTTTCTTTGAGCATGAGTCATTCCTCCCAAAACCTGATATTCAGGGGGAGGGCTTGAGGGAATCTCTATTTTGGGAATCCTTCCCTGTTACGTTTCCAGATTCAGCCATCGAGTTTGAGTCTAGATCCTTTGACGAGTTTCATTTGACTGAGCATCCATCCGAAACTTCCAAGTCTGTGCAACATGAAATGAGATGAGCTCAATGTGATGGAACACCAGCCACCAGCCAGTCAGCCTATTTTGTGATAATCAGGCTGTGGTCACCATAAGAATGCAGTCCACCACGAAACAATGAAGCATGTTGAGATAGATTGCCATTTCATCCTTGAAAATATTGAAAGAGAAGTTGTGATGGAGCCAGTATACATATCAAGTCAACATCAAATGGCTGACATACTCGATAAAAGCTCTAGCAATATCTGGATTTAGAGAATTGAGTTGCAAGCTGGGCATGTACAATCTGTACAACCCAACTTGAGAATGAGTGTGGAAATATTATCTATGTATATTAAGGAAAGATTGATTTTTTTATATGGGAGATCTGGACAAATCTCCTTGATTCTCTTTATTAATTTTCCTGATTTTATGGAATTTGTTTTTTCCTTTCCTAGTTAGAAAAGTTGGGTTTCCTTATATGTAACCAGACTAGTTTTCTTATGTATTACTTACGATGTATTTGTAACATTAAGATAGAAGAACTTCATAATTTTTCACAAAATCCTTAAAATTAAGCACTTTAAGACCCCAAAAAATTAAGCGTAAGATATTCTAATATCGATATCCACCCATTCTTTCATATGATCTTTCTATTACCTAGCTTAGGTGGTATTGGAGTCTTTTAAATGTACTACCTACGATTCTTATTAGTGTCATTTTGGTATTTTTATGATTTTATCAATAATAAATAATTAAGATCACTCCTTCTGTAGTTAGTGTCTGAAGACAAGGCTAAAAGCCGGATGAAAACAAAATTAACTAATACACACCCTTTAGAAATGATGCAAAAGAATCAAATAGTATTGATTACTGATGAGTACGAAACTAAGAGATACTATTGGAATAATAATATGGCTACATTTGTTGGTGGTTTGAATTGTTTTGGGTGTGTCAGTAGTGAGGCTAGTTTTTGAGGTCATCTTTTCAAAAGAAAGAAAATAAGTGGATAATTTTCGAACGTGAGTTTCCTTCTCTGTTTTACGTGCTTGTTATGAGTGTATATATCCTGTGATCTTAATCTCACATTACTCTCTCAGGGTGACATCTTGTTCTTGCACTTTAGTAAGGACCCTATTCGCGCTGGAGAAATTGTTGTGTTCAACGTTGATGTACGTGCTCCTGTATACTAACTCATTTGGATGTCTGTGTTAAATGTTCTTTTGTGAAAATGAATGCATATATCCACTACTGCAGTTTGCATTTGTAATATTTTCACTTTGTTTCTACTCGAAGGATTTTTGTCCCAATGCAGGTTTGATTATGAAACTTTACCTTATATGCTATTCATCTTGAACTGTTTAATCACCATTCGAGCCTAATAATCTTTTCTTCAAAAACATCAAACTAACCATTATCATAACCCTTTCAACTGACGGAATGAACTGGTCAATCACTCTTACGCTTCAGGTAATCATAGTTAACTATCATTTTACTCAGGATGTAAGTATAACTAGTACGATAAAAGGTAGTGATGAGAGCAAGCGATGACATATAGTTATTAGTTATCTGCTATTTTACTAAATAGATGAGAAAGTAAGGTATGATCAATTAGGTCTCAGAGAAGGTTGCATGTCATGATAAGGTGACCTGTTGATATACATAAATGCTCATAAAGTTTATAAATTTTTATTTTTTTTATCATGTCACCATTGTCACTAATGTTTTAGAATTCTCCATGCTTGGTGATTTGTTATTCGCATCTTTAAATTCGACATTGTTTATTTTCCAAAGCTCATTTTTTTTTTCCTTTTGCTTTCCGATAGGGACGTGAAATTCCTATTGTCCACCGAGTTATAAAGGTATGATAGTTTATATATTGTCCTTTTTCCTGCAAGTCTGTTTGTGTTTTTTTTTTTGGTTAAAGTAGTCACGTGACAGCCCGAGTGTTCCTCAACCTCTTCACAAGAAGGGGAAAAGAAAGAAAAGAAAGGGAGGGGAATCGAAGTGCCAATTTCACCGGAAAGTGAGAACCGTGAAAATATAGGTGATGAGGGTGTTTGGAAAGGCGGAAGTTGGATTATTGGTAGAATCATACCGTTGATTTGTTTGAAATAAAGAAGTGGGAGTTGGTATTATTATTAGCTGTAAGGGCTTTTTACTTATCTTGAGTTTATAAATGCATTTCCCCTAGCTTTTCAAGATGTACTCGAATATATACATAATATATATATGTTAATCTGATACACATTCTGATATTATCTCAATGTCAGTTTTCAATCTTCACATCTTTTTCTAGACTTATGTAGTGAAAAGTTCAAATTTACAAGCGAGACTGATTGTGACTGTCTTCTAGAGTCAGTTCATCTTTTCAGTTCTAGAGACTGGCCAATAAATGGCTCGATTATACTAAGAAATGTATTGTAAAATGTAAAAAATAATAAGATGCACAAAGTTCCTGTATGTTCATTTGTAAGAATTCATGCTTCATCCTCGTGCACTTATTTTTTCTTTTACCTTTGGTAGATGGGAAGTAATAAACAATGTTTTTATGCTTATAGGTTCATGAGCGCCAAGATAGCGGGGAGGTTGATGTCCTGACAAAAGGTACATTTTCGAAAAGAGAATTACACTTGCAGTTGAATAGGATTAGGGACACAGTTTAGTCCAATGATTTCAAATTAGTTCCACTAGAATAGCTATTTCGAAAAATTAGTTCTGCTATTAGCTTTCCAGTTGGCAATTTTGGTCCCCTGTTAGTTTTTTAACTATTGGGACTGACACTGAAAGGTTGAGGCTAAAACCACAGTGGCCTCTGTTCAATGGTAGGAAATTGTAAATATCTGCGTGTCATGCTCCAACTTGAATATCACATATAAATTAATTTCTTCCATTAACTGTCATTTAAATCTTATTGGTACATTTGACTACCGTCCAGCCATATATATTATCAATCTAATCTTCATAGGGTAATTAAATGACATGTTATCCCGACATGTTATCAAGATAACTTTGGGCCTCTTTTGACTTGTCTGTAATCCTGGACGCCAGGACCAGCTACAGAAAGAGTTAATTCATACTTCTAACTCTTCATCTTAAATATATCATACCCATGTGAAATATAAATATGAAAATACAACAATAACAACATACCCAGTACATTCCCAACTTGGGTCTGGGGGGTCAGTTGTACGCGGACCTTACCCTTGTAATTATACAAGGAGGCTGTTTCCGTAGCGACCCAAGGTGCATTGCGCCGTTTGATATATATTTTTTTTTTCTAGAAACTTCAGTAATAGAATTTACTGAAGAAGCACTAGAATTTAATTGAGCCATTTTGATCTAGTCCATTATTAGCACTATGCCAGGAGAATTGTCAACAATGACTTTTCCAGCTCCATTTGCAATGGACAAATGAAATATAAATATGAAAATATAGTATAAAAATAACTGATACAAGTACGGATTGTATTTAACATGATATGTTATTTAACCATGGCCTACTATAATTTGTTTTATTCAATCATTCCTAGGAAGCAACGTATTGGAATATATTTAACTTTCGGACCAAAAGTGTAAAGGTGCAGTAATTGGATACACACACACGCACACACACACATATATATTAAACTCTATTTGTCTATCCACAAATCAGAAAATACATTCTCATGCATTTCACTGTACTCTCATTTTCTCTCATCAAATTTTTAATTTAATTTTGGGTAGAAAACTTACCATATGACAAAATTTACAACTTATAATATAAATTGAATTTTTTAATAAATCCTTATTTGAACTTTGAGAAATTTTTAAGTTGCGCCTGTTGAGACGGGTTGTACTCATAAAGTTGGTAGTTCTCATCTATGTGGCAGTGACATGGCTTTGAAAATTAAAAAAAAAAGGTAATAAAAAACAAAAAGTTCCATATATGTTAATTTAATTTATTCCTTTATTAAAAAAAATCCTAAAAAAAAAAAACATCTGGGACTTGGGACTCGTTGACTGGAGAGCTCCACTTGTTTGCCCTTCCCCGTGCCTTTAGAAGTCAAGGCCTTCTCCTTCCCTTTTGGCAGCATAGACGCAAGTGAGCTGCGGGCGGTCGGTTATGGACTTCTACGTGTTAGGTGGCAACTTGAAAATCTCGCAATGACAGAAAGTTTTTACCCTATAATTATATACTAAAAATCAATCATTACTACACATTTTTCTATAAATTTTACATTTCATCTATGCAAATATTTATAACTATTATTCATTATATCACATCACAATGAAATATTATATTTTGCATCACACCACATCATATTATTAAAATCATCAATTCGTCAGCTAACTCTTATTTCACCAACAAAATTTTTCACCATGAAAACATATCCAATTGAATACATAAGCTCTATGGACTAAAATGACAATATTTGACTCAGTGGAACAGAAGTGCAATGCTATAACAATTTTAACAGCTGGATAATAAAAATTGTAAGTTCAAATAAAGGAATTAGATCATGTAAACCCTACTCTTATGGTTAATAATGAAATTACCTGTATGTTGTAGTTGAAGATGTTACATTTGATGAGTCTGAGATTAGGTGTGGCAGCACTATAGATGTATATTTTCATAATTGATATATTCAAATTTGTGATCTTTGTTCTAGGCAGCGACTGTTGTAGAATTTTAAAAATGGGTGTGTCAAAGTCTGTAGGATTGCAGAATTTTGATAATGGGTGCGTGGGAGTCTGTAGGAGTGCAAGATTGAAAATATTCTTCCTGCTAAATAATGTTGATAAAATATTTCGGAGTGCTAATTTTTGAGATTGTGATTGGATATGATAAAAGTACAAAGGAAAATCATTATTTCTCCCACTATATCTTCTTTCTCCAACCGATTTTTTTCTTTTCAAATAAACAATATCGCACCCTAATATTTCTATTTCCTAATAAAAATTTTCGGATTGCTAATTTTTGAGATTGTGATTGGATATGATAAAAGTACAAAGTAAAATTGACATGGAAATAGAAATATTAGGGTGCGATATTGTTTATTTGAAAAGAAAAAAATAGGTTGGAGAAAGAAGATATAGTGGGAGAAATAATGATTTTTATTATGTGAAATGATGTAATATGAAGTGTAATAATTTATTATGATGTGTTAAAGAAATAGTAAAATAGTGATTGGTAATTATTAATGTGAGGGGTGAATAATAAATTTTGTAGAGAAATTATTATTTTTAAAATTGTTTTGATAAAATGAGGAGGGAATGAGGAAAAAAGTAGGATGAGTGAATAGTGTATTTGTAATGTGTTGGATGTTTTTCATTTTCAATATCCATTGTGACAATGTGACCTGAAGGTTCATCATCCTTGGCAAAATATCTTTGCAGTACATAACAAAAATAGGTTTCATATTATTCTCTGTCTATCTCTCAGGGGATAATAATTTTGGGGATGACAGACTTCTGTATGCTAATGGCCAGCTCTGGCTGCATAGACACCATATTATGGGGCGAGCTGTTGGGTAAGTTGATGCTTGAACCTTTAGATATCTCCATTCTATAGTAGTCACATGTTGTCTACATGTTTAAATTGTGTTAGACTGTTGAATTCTTGTGTGTTTCAGTTGTCCTTTTCGATAAACAAGTCCCTTCAAAATAAATGTCAGAGTTTTCTTGCTTTGATTCTTGTTTCACAGTTTTGAAACGAAATGCTCAAGGTTTTTGAATATGAGAGAAAACAAATTCCTTGTGAAAATGCTTAGGGGGCGATTGTATACAAATTCTACAGTAAAAAAATCAATCAAAACTCAAATTTAATTCAACTTTAACTCAACTCCACTATCTTCAACATTATCAATATAATTAAATAATATCAATCAATCATTCTTACACATCACATCAACTTTAATTCACTATTCATCTACTCACATAATTTTAACTAACTATCGCTTCCAATCATTTTCTCCTACTTTTACATCAAATCAACTTTAATTATTTTATTTTAAATATTATTTTAATATATTCACTAACAACTAACCATACCGCATTTTTTTCAAATTTAACTATAGTTAAAAAATAACCATTTACTAGTTGAATTCATATCCAATCACCCTCTTAGTTATTTAGCTTTCAAATAAAGTACTGTTGATGTGTGGGCCTTATTAGATTTCGATGTTGAAATTTGTCGTAAGTTTTATCACAGTTGTAGTTATAAGTGTAAAATAAGAAAAGTGGAATTATTTCTGTGTATTTTCCAAGTACAAGCGACTTCGATATATATAATAGAGTGGTACAACTAGGTTACAATATCTGCGGAAAAGAACAAAAAAATCTCTCTACCATACCAAGATATCTCGTTACGATATAAAAATAATTTTAATTTTCTTTTACTAAGAGAAAGATACATACAAAAAATATAAAATCTCCAAATCTCACCGCAAGTTGGAGAATTTATATAAATGATTTCTAGATTATCACATAATTTAGAAAACCGTTTTCCTACTAATAATTTAGTGAATGCGACGATGATATGAAAGAAGTTGAAATTTTCCTACTAATTACACACTCCCTTATGAATTGATCGACCTTGATATGCTCACAGCTCACTCTATGAAAAATTGGTTTATTCTCCTTGTGAATAGCCATTCGGTTGTCGCAAACAAGTGTCATTTTTGAGGACATTTTTCCAAGTAAATGAGTTTCAGGACAAGTCATCTGTATTTCACCTTATCTTAAGGAATTCTTCACCGTCATCCCAAATACTTGATTGACTTCCATAGGAGAGTCCACATGTTTGGTTCCAAGATGTCCAGTTTCGGTAAGTAAATCAGTAGCATAGTTTCCATTGGCATAATGGTACTCCAGACTTGTTGTGAGCAGTCTCAATTCTCAAGAAATACTAAGGATGCCCCATATCCTTAATAACATATATATATATGCAAATACTTCTTATTTTCATCAAACCCACATATATCATTACAACATCGTCAACATAAACAATGAGAATGACAATCCCTTTTGTGCTCTGTCGTACAAAATGGCTAGATTTACACGACATTGTTTATTTTGTCAAACTAAGTTACAGGACTTTGTTTAAGAATATAAAATAGTCCTTTTCAGTTTGCTCACCACATCATTCTCCCCCTTAGCAAGACTTTGTAGGTTGCTCCATCAAATAGCCGTGCAAATTAGGTAGCAAAGGACATGAATCAGGTAGTGGCCAAGATTGCCTCGTGTGCTAATGCAAATGTTGAGCAGTAGGCAGGATAGGAGATGGTAATATAACATGTTGGGCCATTAGTGGAAAAAAGTACAATTTGGACTCAAAATATATAGTTACATTTGTTTAATAAATGGGTGAATACAATAATTACCTTTGTGTTCGAGAATATGATAGAAAAGATGCATTTAATAGAGCGAGAGCAGAATGTGTCAAGACCAGTGTTGAAATTATGTATTGATTGTGAGTGACACTGGAACAACCGAATTTGCGAGGAGTCATGGGGAATAGAGTTTATCTGGGTGAAGGCAAAAGAATGGTATATTCAGTTTTTATTCATAAAGTGAATCTAAAAATATCTATTTCCATATGAAAACAATTATAATCTACCTAAATCAAGAAAAGTATATACGTAAAATATGAAATCTGCAACAAGTTTGGGTTATCTCTAGACTAGCTTGTCTTTTTAACCTCTTAAGTTGATTTTGATGTGGAGTTGCCGAAATCTGAATTTTCTTTGTAAACAATGCATTTATTTTTCCTTATGAGTATCAGCCTTATGCTTAGATACTGTTTAATGCCTTCATTATTCCTAATTTGTATCATATACTGAGTAGTCTTAACAACTTGAGGAATGACCAGATATTTGTATCGTAATCAGCTAATCAGCCTTATGGTCAAAGGGCCTGTTGGGTGTATATTCATCTTCCTTGTGTTTTGTTATTTGTTTTGTCCTTTTTTTTTTTTTGTTTTTTTTTTTTTTGCTATTTTGTTTTCATGTAAATTGTGAATGATAAGGTACTTTTATTCTGAGATTCTATGACTGCCAACTAAACTCCCGTGCGTTTGTGGTTTGCAGATTCTTGCCGTACGTAGGGTGGGTGACAATAATCATGACTGAAAAGCCTATCATCAAGGTTAATAACATTCTAGGCATTACAATCTCTCTCTTTTATTCATAAAGTCGATCTAAGTTCGTTGGCTTTGTAAATTGCAGTATATACTGATTGGTGCTTTGGGATTGCTGGTGATTACATCAAAAGAATAGGGCGAGCTGTAACTCAACATTGGAATTGGCATAGTTTTCCGTAGAGGAATACATCCTTGAAGACATTTGAAAACTTCAAACAGCTCTGTATGGGATTTTGTAGACACAAATTACTACTGTAGGGTTAAAGGGATCAACTGAATTGTGTTATTTCTCGAGCATTGCACATCTTTGTGACATGTTTTTCTCTCTCGGGACAAAAAAATGGAAGTACAAGTTTTTGTTTGGAGGAACGAGTGCTACTTGGACAGTACAATTCAAATATGTTCAACACTAGAAATTCTCATTTAAATTAATTTTTCTATGCAGAAGATTAACGAAAGAAATGAATTTGTCAACAATGATGTAAAAATGAGNTCTCAATTACATAATCCTGATCCTTTTTTCATGGATATCTCTCAATTAATATTATTCCTTGGACATAACCAGAAAATATTCTAGACTTATATGGTGAACCAGACCAGACCACAATATTTACCTACACACATCTCCCAGATCAGTTTATGCATAATAAAACAGGGCCCAATTGAAAACTATGGCCGAAGTCACAAACAAAGCCCGCAGTCTACTTTTGATCATCTTCATTTCATTCTTAAACAAATCAACCGCTTTGGACGTGTTCAGCTCCTTGTGCGGGCGGACCACTCACAAGGCCCTTTGCACCGCCATAGTCGGGAAGCGGCAAACCACTCCCAATGCCGTTGCCCGACTAATCTGAGACAGGGCAGTCTTAATCGTTGTAGCCACTCTTGCCAAGATCAAAAGCCTCCTCAAAACAGCGGTGGACAAGCACGAGGTCTCGTCCCTAAGGACGTGCTCTGCAGGCTACGCAAGGGCCATCGCAAGCCTCAAGCGCGCGGATTTCAGGACAATAAGCGGTGGGACTTACGTGGCTTTGATTAAGGCGATAAGCGACGCCAACGACGAGCCGCGCGATTGCGAGGTCTCGTTCCAGGAGCCGCCTACTATGCGCTCCCGATATCGGCTCAGAATGAGAGGTTGAGGGATATATGTTTAACTGATTTGGAGATTTTTAGAGCATCTCTAATGGTCTTTTCATTGCTTTACATTATTGCCAAATGGCATAAAAATTCTTACGTGGTATGGAAAATGTCTAGAAGGCTTTCTAGATGTAGAAATCGTTCTAGACAACTTCTACTATATATTATATTATTTATTCAATTTCTCTCTCCTCCCTAACCAATTACAATTTTACACATCACAAATAACACCACAATTAACATTAACTATTGGAGACAAAATTTTTTAATTTGCCTTCTCCATATCATACAACACAATTTCCATTGGAGATGCTCTTAACCTTGTGGTGTGTAATAGCCGTTTCTTTTGTTAGTTTTTACGTATTCAAACATTATTAATAAATAATATTTACAAAAGTATTTTTTTTTATCTCTTTCTTTATGCATAACTTGTGCAAAACTCTCCTTTTTATAATAAGACCGACTGAGCTATCACTTTAACTTTAACAGTTTGTTTCCAGTTTACACTGTAGAGAGATCGACAATTTTTAGAGTAGAGAAACAGAAATAGATCGACATATAGGTTTGAATGTGAATCGGTACAATGTTGGTAGTATGGCTTCTTGGGTTGTTCCTTTTTCGCAATTTTAGACCCATTTAGATCGGGGAATATTATATTACAAGGCTCAACTTTTTGTATATTTATCAATTTAAGGCCCGAATTTTATTCTTTCTCAATAGAAGGCTTACATTCGAGATTATTCTCCATTTAAGTCCTACTTTTTTAGTTAACTTTTCATTACAAGACCCAACTAACTTTACTTTTTGACATAAATATGTGAACTAACAAAAATATTATTTTTATTTTTTCTTATAATTTATATTTTACATACTTATAATAAAAAAATAATAAACATCTTTAGTAAAATTACATTAATAATAAAATAAAACTATATAAATTACAATTATGCAAAAGTTTAATAAAGATTATTTTTTAAAATTGATAATTTGACAAATATGCAATTAAACTATTATTTTTATTAATAATATAAATATGTAATAAAATAAAATAAAAATAATATTTGAATAATTTTTCCTTCATTTTAGCTTTGAGGATTTTTAACTTTTCTTTTGGAAGCAAAATTTGATACCATAGTACATATTTAGTTTATTAATAAAAATAATATTTTCATTACATATTTTCAAATTCACTTATCATTCTTTTAAGATAATCATTATTGAAATATTTCACAAATATAATTTATATAGTTTCATTTTTTTTATTAAGGAAATTTTACTAAAGATATTTCTTTCTTTTTTTATTATAAGTATGTAAAATATAAATTACAAGAAAAAATAATAATAATATTTTCGTTCACATAATAGTTGGTTCACATATTTATGTCAAAAAGAAAAGTTAGTTGAGCTTAACAAAAAAAGTAGGCCTTAAATTGAGAATAATCTAAAATGTAAGTCTTATATTGAGAAAGAATAAAATTCAGGCTTTATATTGATATAATTACAAAAGGTTGAGTCTTTTAATGGAATTTTTCCTTTAGATCGAGGCCTAATTTTCATCATAGTTGATGCATTTCCAAACTTAGTGGGTTGTCCCAAAACGTATAAGTTTAATGCATAACAAGAAGGCCCCCATGTTTTCAGGTGTATAAGGGATCGTCTGATGCTATATGCCTGGGAAGCTACTTGCTAACGTTGAATCGTGTGCCGGTCTCTTTATGTGGTCGCCAATTCTTTTAAAAGGATGTGGTAAGATGCCTTTTTAGTGAGAACATTAAATGGAGAGAGAGAGAGAGAGAGACAACATTTTTGGAGATAAGGTGCATCTTTTCGGACATGAGAAACAATTGTCGACATGAGGAGGTGTTGATTCGCTGCGCTTGACGTGAACAGATGTGACCTTTGGACTCGTGCCTTAATATGAATATATTTGATTCGAGTGCAGTTTATGAAGTTTGTCGGTATTTGAAATATTCCACTTTCCTTAAACTTGAATTTGAATTTCCTTTGGCCTCAAATTTTATCTTCACAAAATTGGAGTCCATCGCTTGGCGGGATTGTATATTTCGCGATTCTTCGAACATGTATTTTTAAATTTTTCTTTTCTGTTTACATCAAATCAATATGCCGAATAATAGCATTTACGACATAGATTTAGTAAATGCAGCGGTGGTGGGCGACCGGGCAGGTTAGGTGAGAGAGGCGATCTTACATATGAGCGATGTTCGAGATATGCAAGCGCAAATAGAAGAGAACATGACAGGCTCGATGCTGGACGGGTATTGGAGGCAATCGCCGGCATAAGAACCGCCCGATCCTAGTGAAATGGAAATTCACCAATCGCTAGCACGCTGAGGGACCCTGACATAGTGAAGTTGAGGAAAAATACAAAGTTCCAGGATCATTAAGTACATTTGTGTTGTATGAGAATGAGCGGGCCCAATGTCCACCGTTGGGATGTGTCGTTGTGCATAGAGAATCCATGGTGTCGGGGTTGAGGTTATCTTTTTTCCAAGTCTTTTAGAAGTACCTACGATAATGGGGGATCAGAGTCACTCGGGTTAACCTAATTATTGTATATTGTTTATGCTCCTTGATCCTATTTAAGCAAAAGAGTTGGTCAAGACCGTACGTAGAGGATCTAAATTCCATTTTAATATGGAAGATGTCGAATGTGGGGATGGAGACATTTTTATTTGCCACTACGCGATGATAAGTACGCTAATTTGGTGAAAGATATGTTAGTGTATATACTGAAAACCTGGCTTTAGATGTTTTTTTCACTATTTATGTTGAATGAGAATTCATATTTGATTAAACCAACTATATGTGTTCTATTGTTTTGCATTCAGATCAATGGTTCATCACAGATAGAGAAAAGATCATTTATCAGGGACTTGCAATACATAAAGGAAACGGTTCACAACCTAGATAGAAATTGAACAAGGCATCAGAATGGTTGTAGTGTGAATGGTACAGTTAGTCTTGGCTGATTAGTTGCACTAGTACAATTATGTATTGAAATCCAAGAAAAGAGCAATTCGTTTTGTAGAATGACTATGTTATTTGTATATGAGCGGAGTGGGATCGGCCCACAGTTAGGCCCATATACGGGGAATCCAATTTGATGCCTTCTTAGGGTCACTAGTGAAGCCTATAAATACACCACCTCTCTTATGTTTGGAAGACATCCATACACTTTAGACTTAAGAGAGATCTAGAGTCTCATTCCCACCAAGGGAGTTCTAGAGGTGTTAGGATATTCAATAGAAGTCCCCAAGGTAGTCGAGCACCCGACCACCTTCGGCTATCATGCATCTCCTGATGCGCCCCGACACGACCCGCTCACGCACACTTCATGCTTGCAACCCCCGACATTCCCGCATGACCCGCTCCCATCCAACGACCCGCTTCGACTTTGCACTACCTGCTGCAGTCCCGACAACCACACGACGCCATCCACACAACACCGCACGACCTCTAACGACCTGCACCTCGCACTCGATGACTTGAAGACATTTGACGAGGCGATTTCCCGTGAGTGAAAAATCAAATGATCTCAATCAGCAGAAACCTACAACGTCTCAGGGTCTGCAAATTTTAAGCCGTAAGTTTTCTACGTCAAATTTTAGATCCGTTGTGCATAGGTTTGTTCGTATGATAATTCGTGAATTGCACAAGAACTACTATCCTTATAAATCCCAACAAATGGTATCACAACCCATGTTTAATTCGCTTTTGTGCAAAGTCTAAATTTTTAAGCGCAACCATAAATTGTATTATATATTTGCATAACTCGGTTTTGCAGTAGTAGTTTAATCCACAGTTATGGCCTATGTGTTTGATTTAATTTATCGAACGTTTTTAAAGCCTTGGACATATCGAGGAAGATAGTTGAACGTTTGTAATAATTATTCGCTAAATGGACACCAGATAGATTTAATTACTTTCTTATACAAACATTTAATCACATATGTGGGTCTAGGAACAAAATTGTAAATTTGCAAATTTATTTATTTTGATTGTGATCGTGTATGGATCTACCAGGAGTTCACAAAGACCGACGGGCCTTGACAACTTGTTCGGCCCGGGCCACCAGGCATCGCATTGTGGCAGCACGGGTAGACGCGGGCACCCGACAACATGTTGTCGAGAGAACCCCAAGCGTCTGACCCGCAGCAGCTGAGGACATTCGATTTTTGCGGTAGACACGGCGGGGCTGGGCAAATGCGCCCTGGTGATACTGGTGACGCGATCGACGCTCGCGCTGCGCAAGACGCGGCAGAAGCCCAGGCGTGTGATGCGAGTGCCCAGGTCGTCCCGGAGCATTGCGCGACAAAATTTGTGCGTGCGAGCAGGCACGAGACGCCTGGAGTACGCGCAGTGGATGGCCGCGTGATGGATGCATGACGCTGGTCGTCTGTGGCGAAATTCTCGGGCCAACCCGCTGCAGCTCGTACGAAGGATTGGGCTCGATTTTGATCACTTGGCGAAAAGACGTTTTACGGCGACTTCACGGCAGTAGCTTCCAGTTGGCAGATGTGGCTATCCCGGTGATGACGCGTGATGTGATGTCTTGACGGACAAAACAACAAATTTGGGAAGGAATTTTGCTGCAGTGGGCATTCTAAGTGTATTAGGAAAATCAGAATATTTTATCTGATACTTACTTTATCCACTGGAATTCATTAATTAATGGTCATAATAGTAGATTCATTTACCATATATTTTAGTATGTCCATATGCATGTTAATTACTTTTTTGTTTTATGGCATGTGATTAATTATGGAATTAAATAATTAAAAATCCTCTTTTAAAATTACCAAGTTGAGAAGGAATTTTAAAATAATCCTAAGGCCTCCATTACAGGTTTGTGGTGATGCAATTAATGGTGACGTGGACCTCGCCGTCCAGGGACACTATCAAAATTAATTGTAGAATCACTATAACAGACTTCAAATGTGATGATCATAAGAATTATTTATTGAGGGTACTGACCCCGCTGTCTGAGGACGTACAATCATTGAAATAGTTGCCGATTAGGTGATGTTTTTACTTAGAGCGTAATAAAAAGACTCCTCCCCACCAGAGTTGATGGACTTTTATTATGTGCCCAAAAGGAGACCGACTATTAATTTTCTTTGCCATGAATTGGGTTTTACCTTATGAAAATTAATAAATATTTGGAAATCATTCTTTTAGATATATTGAGCGAGCGTAAAGTCGCCCGTCGCAGCATGCGCGGACTCTCGTTGCTTTGAGATATTGGTGAATTTAAGTTAATGTTGTTTTGAGAATATCAATGTTAACAAGTTAAATTCAAATTGTTTAATCAATAAATTTTTTTTCATGATTCGCAGGCTATATTCAACATGTCTTTCAATCCGTTATATGTGATTCTAAAAGAAAATAAACTTACTGGTCCCGAATTCTATAACCGGATAAGGAGCTTGGACTTTGTTATGTCGATCACCATGGCTGAGGGCATTCCCGTAAAGGATCATGTCCTTAAAGCTAATCGAGCTTTTCAATGAGCTGGAGGTCCTAGAAGCTAAAATCGACGGGAAAACCTAGGTTGATATCGTGCTTCAGTCATTGTACAAAAGCTTTCAGCAATTTTGCCTGAACCACAATTTGAACAAAATGCTTTTGTCATTGAAATAACTTCGCAGTGAGCTCCAAGCGCTGGCAAGACTTTTTCGTCAAAACCCTCAGGCTTTTGTGGCCGACCAGGCGGGTTCCTCAACTTATGGGCCAAAAGGTCCAAGAAGAAAAAGAGGCCTACAAAGAAGGTTGGGAAAGCGCCAATGCCTGCGGTTGATCCGGCAATTGCACCATAAGGAGCAAAGAAACCAAAGGATAAGTGCCACCGCTGTGGAAAGTCAGGACACTAAAAGCCAACTGCCCAAGAAGAACAAGAAAGGTAATTCCCACTCTTTTGCCTTAAATACATTTTAAGGCCAAAACATGCCCAGTAAACACGCTAAACGCATAAAATTATTAACAAGTGGGTTGATATAAAGCCCATTAAGGTCATGCGAAAACAACCAGAAAATAGATAATAGAACGGAAAAGAAAAAACACACACACACACACACACACACACAAAAAAAAACCCAAACAAACATCTGGATGCAGAAAACAAAATACTTCGTTTTCATTTGCCAATGGACACCTCATAATAAAGCAAGTAAAGCAAGACATCAACCGTCTAATAAAATGACCGAAACCCAACGAAACACAACTCAAACCTTGACCAAAACATAATTGTCTTCAACAGAGGCCATTCCATAATTTCTTCCCCGGAAAAACACACCAAAATTCCAAACCACTATTTCGTAAAAACACACAAAACCAGACACTGTAAAGAAAAACAAACTCGAGCCACAAACCCCAGCCCTTTTAGTACCTATAGTGAGCAGGCTTGTAAGGACCCTCAACCGGCACACTAATGTAATCAGCCTGCTCCTTGGAAAGCTTAGTAAGCTTAGCACCAAGCTTCCCAAGGTGGAGTGCAGCAACCTTCTCATCAAGATGCTTAGGCAACACATAAACCTTCTTCTCATACTTCCCACTGCTCCTCTCCTTCCAGAGCTCAAGCTGCGCAATCACCTGATTAGTAAAAGAGCAGGACATGACAAAACTAGGATGTCCAGTGGCACAACCCAAGTTCATGAGACGACCCTCGGCAAGCACAATGATGCCTGTGTTGGTCTCAGGAAAGACCCACCTATCAGTTTGTGGCTTGATGGTGATTCTTTTCACACCAGGGTAGGTCTCGAGCCCAAGCATGTCGATCTCATTGTCAAAGTGGCCAATGTTGCAGACAATGGCATTGTTCTTCATCTTGCGCATGTGGTCAACCATTATGATGTCCTTGTTTCCAGTAGTGGTGACAAAGATATCGGCTTCAGAGACCACGTCCTCAAGGGTCAGGACTTGGTAGCCTTCCATGAGGGCCTGAAGGGCACAAATTGGGTCGATTTCAGTCACAATCACGCGGGCCCCAGCTTGTTTCAAGGCGGCCGCACAACCCTTTCCGACATCACCGTAACCGCACACGACACCAACTTTACCGGCAATCATTACGTCGGTTGCCCTCATGAGTCCGTCTGGCAGAGAGTGGCGGCACCCGTAAAGGTTGTCAAACTGGTGGGAAGGGAATTGGTAAGGTAGGATTAGGTTTTTAGATGAAAGAAAAAATAAACTGATACAATAGCTAAGCATGTCAAGGCCAAATAACAAGGAAGATTAAGATAGTTATTCACATAACTACAGCAGGATTGAATGCACTCATCATAGCTATTCTTCTTTGTTGACATAAAACATAAAATTTAAACAGCTAAAGAATATAACTATTCAGCACTTGGTGAAACGATAAACAAAGACAGCAGCATATCATCAGATCAACCCGACAGGAACTGAGACCAAATAATAATAGTCATATCATTGACAAAGAAATAACCAAGCAGTAGCATATATTAGATTAGATCATAACAGATGTAGCTTATATTAGATCAGATCAGATGTAGCATATATTAGATCAGATCAGATGTAGAAAAAGAAATGGGAGAAAACACATATACATACCTTGCTCTTGGTGACAGAGTCATTCACGTTAATAGCAGGGAAAAGCAGTGTGCCATTAGCCTGCATCTGGTACAGCCTCTTAACTCCAGTGGTGGTCTCCTCAGAAACACCAACCAATCTCTCCTTCATCTTTGTATACCTCTTTGGATCAGACTTCAGCCCATCTTTGATAATGGTCAACACGATCTGAAACTCGGCGTTGTCAGTGGAGCTCGGATCGGGCAGCTTTCCAGACTTAGCATACTCCTCCTCGGCTTTCACGCCCTCATGGATCAAAAGCGTGGCGTCACCGCCGTCGTCCACGATCAAGTCGGGCCCGCCGTCAGACCCCCAGTCCAGGGCCCGCTCGGTGCACCACCAGTACTCCTGCAAGGTCTCCCCCTTCCAGGCGAACACGGCGGCGCTGTCGCGCGCGATGGTGGCAGCGGCGTGGTCCTGGGTGGAGAAGATGTTGCAGGAGCACCATCTAACCTCGGCGCCCAAGGCGGTGAGGGTTTCGATGAGCACGGCGGTCTGGATAGTCATGTGGAGGCTGCCGGTGATCTTGGCGCCCTTGAAGGGCTGCGAGGGCCCGAACTCGGAGCGGCAGGACATGAGTCCAGGCATTTCGACCTCCGCGAGTTCGATCTCCAGGCGACCGAAATCAGCCTGGGACATGTCCTTGACCTTGTACTCGCGGCCGGAGGTTGTCTTCTCAACGAGGAGCGCCATGGATGTTTGCGAGTACAGATTGGATCTGAGATGAGTGAGTGGACTGGTTTGAACGAGTGGTGAGGGTGTGGAGAGGAGATGATGCTTATTTATATAATTGTTTGGGACCGGGGTAGGTCAGATTGGTTGAGTGGTAGATCTGCAAATTAGAGAAGCTCTGAGGTTATTTTGTAATATCAGGAACTCAGCACAATGTGGCCACCACTTGCTACTGGCTACTAATAAATGGATCTGGTACTTTTACAATCATGGTTTACTTCATTACTTGCACATGATTTGGACGGTTAAGATTAATGCTGTTAAATGAAACAAATCTGGTTCTGCTTGTTAAGGCGTGAGTTTGACATCAAATAAGCCGAGCTCGAGTTTATTTAAAACTCGTTGATTAACGAGTCGAGCTCGGCTCGGCTCGATAAAACTCCATAATGATCGTAAAAAAGATTTTTATACAACTTTCTATAATTTGGCTCGTTAAAGCTCGAGATCGGCTCGAACTCAACTCATTATGAGTGATAAACGAGCCGAACACGAGCTCAATTTCAGACTCGTTTCTTTAACGAGATGAGCTCGACTTGGCTCAAGCTCGAGCTCGGCTCGACTTGTTTACAGGGCCTAGTTATGATGCAAAGAGGTAGACAGAGAAAATGCAATAAAACATTTATGTTTCATTGTTGATCTCACCAGTCACCACAGATAACTTAGAAACCAAGTGGGCTTCAGCCCAATCTTAATTTTTCGATTTTGTTAATTGGCCAAAGTACACATATAGACCACTTTAAACTTTATATGACATATATGTGTCAAACTTTTCCAATTATCAATAAAATTTTTACAAAACTAAATACCGATAATACTCTCCTAATCAATTATAGACGTAAATTAAAAGATTATAACATATAATCAATCAAATCTTTATATCTAAATGTTACCATAGATATAAATATTATGGCTAAATCATGGTGTCTTAAAGATAAAGACCGACATGGCCACGGGTCAACCGGCCCGCCGATCCGGCCCGGTCAAACCCGTTTACCACGGGTCCGGAACCGGATCGGATTTAAGACGGACCGTTTAAGGGTCATCCATTTTATGACCCGGCCCGGTGGGCCCGAGACGGGCCGGGTTGATGACCCTCTTTTTCTATTCTTTTTTCTATTGTTTTTTAAAAAAATAACGTACGCGGCCTGGACATGGACCCGACACGAGTATAGGCCCGTGCCGATTCAGGGTCAGTGTTTTTGAGCCCGGCGGGCCGGGTCGGGCCGTGACCTGGCCCGAGTTTTGGCCATGTCTAGACGGGGAAGAAGAAACATTTATGTATTTTCGTATTGGGTTAATTGCAGGAAAAATCCCGACTTTTGCTTAAATTGCAAATAAACTCCACATTTTTAATTTGGCAAAAAAAATACCAAACATTTCATAATTTTTGCAATTGTGTCTCGAAGTCACATTCTGGCCAGATGACGCTGACATGGCATGTCGTTAAATTGATGTGGCACCGGTTTTGTGACATGGCAATCAAGGAAATACCAATGTTCTGAAAACCGGACCGGTTATCGAACCGGTCAAGTTACTGGTTCAATGGTTCATTGGTCCGACCAGTGGTTGAACAGGTATTTAATTTATTAATATTTTTAAACATATATAATATTTTATATAATAAAATTTATGTATAAAAGATTTTTTAATTAAATATTAAGCTAATTTAAAACATTCAAACACTTAAAGTAACTAATAATACCTTATATATATCCATTATTTAAATATCGGCTAATTCCTTTTAAATCCCCAAACCTACTTTCACTTTCCTCTTCAATCCCTAACAAAATTTTCTTCCTTTCCACTCCCTAAAGACAAAAGAATTGGTCCCCTCATAAGGGAAAAATACATTTTTACCCTTATAGCAATTAGATAAAACACAATTTTATCTTTGTACCACTCCTTTAAAAAAAATGTACCAGTATTACTCATAACGGTACCAACTCACTTAAAAAGCATTAAAAAATGAAAAACACTCCCCTCTGGGAAAATATTGAAAAAATTCGAGAAAATCAAGGTCTAATTCTTGAAAGACTCGAAAAAACAAGTAGAAATATTGAATTTCTTGATACTTTACTTTCAGAAATTCTTGATATCGCAGCAAAAGCTGATAAAATCATAGAAAATATTAATAAGATAAACATAAACAGATTAGAAGAAACTCTAACAAAATTAGATGGGAAAATTCCAAAAATTGACCCACTAATAGAAAAACTAAATAAAGTAATCCAACTTGTAAATCAAATTGGAAATGAGTTAGGAATAAATGTCTAAAAATCCGGAAATAGGAAATGTACAACAAATTCTAACAATAGTTAGTGAAATAAAAGAAATCGTTCTAAAAATAGAACAAACAATACATCAGTCTGATTCTAGTAACCAAGACACAAAAACAATAGAAATAGAAAAACTTATAAAAGTCTTTAAAGAAAAGAAGCCTATACCTACTTACAGACCCCCCAATGAATGGAATCTTAAAGATTTATTTGAAAAGGACAAATATAAAAGACTAGAAGAGAAAAAATGAGTTCTGATTCAGAATTGAGTCAAAATGAAACTGATGTTCAATCTTTAATAGATAAATATCAGAATATATTATCTTTGAAAGAATTCATAGGTAATTATAGTGAATCTTGTACAGAAAGTGATAGTTCAGAACCTAAAAATCGCTTAAATGTAAGGATTGAAGAAGACCTGAAGGATATTCCTCCAGGACCAAGTAATTATTGTGATACACATGAATTCATGACTCCTGAAGAATGTAGAAATGATGAATTTTACAATCCAAATGCTGATAGGTATTTTGGAGTATCAGACGAAGATAAAACATATGAAACTTTCCCAGAAGTAAACTTCCCAGGAATGATGAATATGAATAGAAGCAAAACTAAAACTTATAAGAAAAAATCAAAGAATTTTATTCCAAAAGAGTTTATTCCAAAAGATGACTCGAAAAATAATAACGACAATATTCTTGACTTAGACTGTTTAGCAAAACCGGTTGAAAAAATAAAAAGTTGGTACAACTACATGTTAGTAGTAATACAAACTAATAAAGAAGCATTTGAAGACCTAAGAACACTGAAAACATACTTAGAACTTCATATGAAAGGAAATGTTAAAAATTGGTGGGACTCAAATCCATATGTTCCTAGCCTTGATGCTCATTGGAATAAACCAGAAGATAACATAGAATATCTAAATGCTCTTGCTAAATTACTAATTAATGAATTTGTAGGAGTAAGAGAACTAGATAATACAAACGCTGTCTTAGAAGAAAGACATAAAAAGGCAAAGTTCATTTTAGATAATATTCAGATATGTGATATCTGTTATTGGAAAAATTATACATGTGAGTATGAAAAATGGTACTACGTGTTAAGACAAGAAGATAGACCAGCTTATGCTGAAAAATATTTTAATAAACTACCACCTTTGTGGGCTTTTGAAATGAATAAAAAATGGTCTAATAAATCTGACCATATTACCGATGGCTTTGCAGGAAGAGTTAATCTTCTAAAAGAAACAATAGAAGATAGATGCAAAGACACCCAATTAAGAGGAACTCTTTTATACTACCAAAATAAACCTTGTTGTGATCCACAACTATTAGAAATCCCAAATAAATGGGGATGTAGAACAAAGAAAGAAAAGATTTATCGCAAACAAAACAAGCAAAAATTTAAAAAATATAAGAGATACATTCCCAAGTATAGAAAATATAAAAAAGAAAGTTATAATAATACTAATAAACCAAAATATAGAAAAAGGTTTGGAAAGAAAAACAATAAGTATTGCCCTAAGGGCAAAACTAATTGTAGGTGTTGGTTATGTCAAGAAGAAGGACATTATGCTAACGAATGTCCAAAAAGAAATGAACAAAAAGATAAAGTAAAAATGCTTTATGCAATGCAAAAATACAGTTTTGAACCAATTGAGTCAGAAAATGATTCAAATAGCTCAGAATATGAATTAAAATTTGAATTAGAATTTAAAAGGTTTAGTACAAAACCAAATTCAGAATGGGAAAGTTGTAGTGATGAAAGTTCTGATGAATGGAACGATTGTCAAATATAACCAATCCAAATAGTACATATATAAAAGTTGGATTTAAATTTCCTGGATATAAACAATATCACCTTCATGGGTATATTGATACTGGAGCAAGTATTTGCGCTGCAAATCAGCTAGTATTACCCAAAGAAAAGTGGGAAACTGCTAAACAAAAGATTACAGCACAAGTTGCCAATAAAGAGGTTATTACCCTCTCAAAAGTAGCCTATAATGTAACTTTTCACATTGCCGGTGAACAGTTTCATGTTCCTACAATATATCAACAAGATACTGGAGTTGATTTATTGATAGGAAACAATTTTTTGAAATTATACAGACCGTTTGTTCAAGAACTTGATTATGTCTTGCTCCATCTTAATGGTACAGCAGTACATATTAGTATTGTCAGTAAAGCTTATAGCTTTGCATCCGAAAAATTTATGGAACATAACGCCAAACTACGAAAACGTGGTGAGGTTATAAAAAATCCAAAGAAAAATATTGCATATAATGAGGAAACAAAAGATCTAGAAAGAATCTTTTTCAAAATAATGCAATGTAAATTTATTATGAAAACTTTACTTTCACAACACGAAACGATTTATAAACTATCTCTTGAAGATTGCCAAAAAGCTCTTAAGAAAATAACGAGTGAAAACCCGTTAGATAAAATACTAAATAAAAGCATACAAAATAAAGCTTTACATGCTGAAATAAAACTCATTGATCCTACAAAAGTTATAAGAGTTAAACCCATGAGTTATACTCCTCGAGACAGAGAAGAATTTAATATACAGATAAAAGAATTACTTGAAATAAAAGTAATTAGACCAAGTAATTCAATGCATAGTAGTCCAGCCTTTCTGGTTGAAAAAGAATCAGAAAAGAGACGAAATAAAAGAAGAATGGTCATCAACTACAAAAGGTTAAATGACTATACTGAAATGGATGGATATTTCTTACCTAAAAAGGAAGAATTATTCCATTTAATCAAAGACATGAAATATTTTAGTACATTTGACTGTAAGAGTGGCTTTTGGCAAGTACCTCTTAAAGAAGAATGTCGAAAATTAAC